GAAACTTGAGATTTTTTTGTCTTTTTATTCTTAGAGAATTATTATACGATATCATATATTCTTCGAAGTCTCGATATTTTCCTTCATTGTAATAAAATTCTATAGATCATAATACGTAAACGATAAAATTATAACGGATTCCTGAACTTTTTACTGTTCTAACAATAAACGAAAAAAATCTATAAGGAAAGATTGCAATCAGAAGAGAATATTCATGATCGATAACGTTTATAAGTCACGTTTTCCCGATCTATTCAAGATCAGTGGATAATATATTTTGTATCTCTATCTTTCGTACGAACCGCGTTGTGCATTATTATACGTCACAATTTAATTGGCGTCGTAATTTCCCGCTACAAGATACTGTATCGCGGTTTAACATGTATAATTGAGATGCTAATAAACACAGAGCGGCTCTAACATTCACTTGTGTCTATAGGCACATTCCGCGGAAGACGTGCGATCGTAATGTCTGTCAGGTATGCGATTGCATCTTCTATTTGACGCTTTTATTCAAAACAGTTCACGTGTACGTGCGCGGTTTGTTGGACCTTGAAGAGGACCTCATCATCAAGTTTCGGTTCATAGTTAATATAAACGGACATTATTATATCATTATGACGAAAACAAGATAATGTGCTATCATCTATTCCTGTGACAGTTTGTTTTGCAATCTCGCAGTTTTTATTTCGATAACCCTATAGATTAGCGCAACATATACATATATATATATATATATATATGTATGTAGAAATATTTTGAAAAAAGAATCGGAAAATGATGTGCATTAATATTCATAAATTTATGCGATAAATAACTTAAGAGATAACAGAATTACGAACAAAAAAAAATTATGACAAGAATTATTATTATTATAATGTGCTATTTTCGCAAACTAATTTTCATCAACTTGTTGGAAGTAAAACCACTGTGCATATATAATCATAACATGTAAGATAACATAATTATCGTTGATCAAACTCAAGATTAATGCATATAATGTTATAAGATCATAACTCATTGAAGAAATTTAGAGAGAGTTGTTAGGGTCAAACATCCGACGCTTATCGTCCACCGTGTTAAATCCATTAAATTTATAACGAATTTACGAAATTAGAGATTCGTAATGTTTCTGTGAAGGATTGCGCGCGATTCTACGCGTATTCGCTAATTAATAAATCATAATTGCCGAACGATCTAATTCACCGTGTCTTGTTTTGTTACGACTTCATCGACATAGTTAAAAATGTTCTCCAGTGTGTTAGATAATGAGTCCGGATTTTTCGAGATCGTCACGGATTTGAATATCTTCCGGCGGTGAATGTCGCCTATATAGAAATAGGATGGCTAATCTCTGGACACGCGAAGGAATCCAGAAGAGAAAGCATTAATATTTATTTTCACATTATCATTTTAATGACTTATTGTTGATGCCGACCGTTGATTGACCTTAGCGGATATGCAATCACGTCGATGAGTAAAGATTTTATTTTTCTAAAACAAATGCAATTCACATCCTGTCGTTTGTTAGATCGGTCAAAGTCAAGTACGATATCGTTTGCGGTTATATAGAAAAGCATTATTAGAGCGATATGTGTAACTCATATATGCGTATGTCCATTTCGTTGCGATATCGGGTCGCAATTGTTGACATAAAAGTATATATTTAAAAAGAATTTCATGGAAAATTTTAGATACAATGTTTGCAAAATGTGCGTGAATATATAATGAGAGTCTGTAATGTTCGACAAATAGTTAAATAAGCGCTTTGAAAATTACAATCTGCAATCATATATCTATTACATTTATATCTTATATTTATTTGTACATTATACGACCAGATAATTAATCTGCTCGCATTTAGATGATTTGAAAAGCACGCGTGGCAATTATCGAGGTTTTATCAATGTCACTCGTATTGTTAGAGATTGTGCAGTACACCCGCCTGTTAATTACACTCTTATTCGATATACTATCTAGTAACGCTATAACGCGCGCACGAATCACAGGCTATCGCTCTTTTTCGCCAATGAGTCGAAATGTCGGAACTCGACCGTCCCGTGTTTTGACACTTTAGAATCATGCTTTGTCTCGTACGCTAACGCGCGCAGTTTAATGACGCAATCAGAACGCGCAGTATGTCTCCATTGTCGAGTTTATGCACGCGCACCCGAATTCATTTCGTTGCGAGCGCGGTGTCACGCGCAATTATAGGGCTGTCTGCATATATCAGTCGAGGTCGTGCCGGTATTTCGAGTCGCACACCGCGCTAACACAGGTTGAGCAAGCGACTGGATTTATACTTAGAAAGCAATTGTGTGTTGGTTTAATAAAATATCTCGCGCGCAGACAGATATTGCATGCATTGTTCCAAGGACAATGCCTTTGCGCGCGATATGCGATATATAGCGTACATTGTATTTATAATTGAGAGAAGAGGAGGAGGATTAAAAAGAAAGGGGTGTGCGTAATCTCATCTCGTCTAACTGAAATAATTTATTAATAGCGGAAATATATAATATAATATATAATGATCCACGCTGAATCTTTTATTATACAAAAGAGCTTTTATGCGTGTTATCCATTGTATCTTCGTTTTAATTATCTTCTCAAAGACGCGGAATTCTATGAAGCCGATGAATGGATTCTAAGTTTAACAAGTACATAGCATTTTTAATGCTTCATTCATTTGGAGATATATGAAGCTCGTAGATGAATAAATTTTTTAGTAAAAATGTATACGATATATAAATAATATAATTTTTATTAATATAATATACTATATAATTTATTAACATAATAGAAAAAAAGAAAAAATTTCTTTACACGCTTATACGAAAAGAGCTATTCATCATTTGACATTAATTCCGTTGGAAATCTCCCCTCCCCAAAAATCTCCCTCTCGTGGTTAAACCACATATTTTAATTTGCTCTCGCAATTTAGTCAGCTTTCGCTCGTTTTTTAGCGCTGTTGGTTAGTTTAAATAGCTTCGGTGGTCAAAGTGCTAAAAATCGATCGTGTCCGGTAAATACTGCAAATCATAATTCCGTCTGTAAAATCACTCGTTTCCCAAAACCGAAGCGAAAACGATGCCGCCATGCTCCACGGAAATCGGTGAAAAATAAAGCGGATACACTCTTCGAGAGCGAAACCGGCGAGCACATTCGCGCGTTTTTAATTCGATAACCGCCGGTCTCTTGATTCCGTATACCGTTCGGTGATACGCGCTCTTGTTACGCAAATGCGTGCATGCGTGTAGTCTTGTACGTGTCAATTCTGCGTCGGGGCGTATCCTTCGGGAATCCGTATGCTCGCGCTTATTATCACCGGCGTGCCCGAGGTATCGAGTTAATTCGATATTTTTACCGCGCGAACGCGCACTCAACAATCCGGCACTCGGAAGGGTTGTTTATGCCAGGAACATCGATTATAAACGAGACATTGTACGCGGAAATATCTGCGAATCTCTCATCGCAAATTTCTCATAATTCTCGAACAATTGATCGGCAAAATTTTCTGCAATTGGGACAACAAATTGCAGAATCACGTTTCGTTGTAATAGCTACATAAGCGAGCAATTTTACCAATGATGAAGTAATAAGTGATGGAGCAACTACACAGTTCACTTGTAACGTCTTATTATATCATTCGGATGTACCCGGTTACTAGAAAACAATTTTCGTAAATATTATTGCAGATACATCATTTTCGACGAAAGCTACTCTTTATACGTACCTAATCGAAAAAAACTGGCTTATCGTTTAGTGTCTGAAAGAGCTTAAACCATATGTATCGTGTATTTTAATTGATCGAGCTGGGCATCAAGTGGTCGCTCTTTCTCTTCGTTCGCGCGAAGGAGCAAGGAATTTGTCTTCGAAATTTCAAGAAGGGTCTCGCATAGAGGGATATATACCACGATACGGGGGAAGCCTGCGGAGAGTAGACGCAGCCCCATAAAGAGAAGCACGAAACCAAGGGAAGATGGAGGATCACTAGGTCAAATGCGTATAGAGGAGCACGATCCCTTTTCAGTCCCTACTCTCTCTCTCTCTCTCTCTCTCTCTCTCTCTCTCTCTCTCTCTCTCTCTCTCAACCCTCGTTCGTTACACTTCCTCTCCTCTCCTCTTCGTCTCTTTCGTTGACCTTTCGATCCGAAACCGGCTCTTTCTTCGCTCACCGAACACATGGCCCCGAGTGTGTACAGGCATGCGACCCGAGCACGGCTTATGCACGCATCTACTTAAGTCGGAATCACATATGTATATCACGCATACACTGCGATCGTCCTCGCGTTATCAGACCGGCGGTCGCATATCACGAGATACAATGTCGTGACGTGACTCCAATTACACGCCGGCGAGAACTCTTTATACGCGTGATCGTTGAGCTCGTGTAAGCGTAATTCCGCGTTTCGACGTCGCGTCGGCGGCCGCTCGGTCTTCCGAGGATGTCGCGAACCAACGAAAGCCTTACGTGCGTCGTTACCCCGATAGACACGCTATCATTCGCTCATAACAGATCGTAATTCACGAGCACGCGCGCGTGCCGTTTCGCTCGTTGCACGCGCCACCCAAGTCATCTCGAATCGATATTAACGACGTTGGGGAGTAGCAAAAAAATGTATCGCACTTTTTTCCTCTTAACATCTATATATAATTCTAATTCCAAGTGTTAGTGTCGTAGAAAAGTGTTTTAAATGGCACTGACAGATCGGATTAATTAAAATCGATTTGATCTTTATATATTGTGTGATTTATCCTAATGTCACTAGTAGAGAATTCATTTCACGAATCGTGTGATTATAATTGAAAAAGAATTGGAGAATGATGAATTAATTAAGATCGACTCTCCATCTGTCAATGAATCTCACGCCGCATCGGTATGTGTGATTACATTGGAATATAATTTCGCCTCCGCTTCTCGAGCCCCTGCATCAAGAGAACCCACGTGGTTCGATTCTCTACACAGACGCATACACACGCTAGCTCAGTTCACTCACCTGCCAAGCGTGCTCATATCATCCTGGCCGCGCGCTGGTAGCCTGGACTACCCCGTTGCCATCGACGGAACACTTGTCACGTATCTCAAAAAGAACGCACCTCCGCACAAATGAGTAGAACCGCCACTGACAAAACTCAGATGCAGAGAGAGAGAGAGAGAGAGATCGGCAGCTAAACGCGCGACGATCGGAGCCGTTTCTCTCGGGACCGACCGGTTTCTCTCAACACTCGGTATATGATAACTCACAACGAGGAGCCGCGTTCACCAAGACCTCATCAAATTGCACCGATTCCTCCACACGCTACCTTCATGACCCGGCTGCGTCTCGTCGTCAGTACCGGTCGCGCACTTTTCAACACCAATTCACGAGGGGGATTCAGACGATGCAAACCTGGGGGGGTCGCCGGATATCGCACGGTGAACAGAATGCAACGGGGATGATTACCCTCGATCGCGACGATAACTGACCGCGTTGCTCCGTTTCGCGTATCACTGCCGCGAGCTACGAGGCGCTCTGCAACACGGCGGAGAGGCTTCAGCAGCCTCGCGGTGCGTCAGTGCGAGGGTCCGCGTCAGTACGAGGGGCGAGAAAGAGGCGACTGCTCGGGCATAACGTGACGGTGGCGAAAACAAGGAAGCGGGAGCGGAGAAGTCAGTGCGAGAGAAAAAGAGAGACAGAGAGAGTGTGTGTGTGTGTGTAAGAGAGAGAGAGAGAGAAAGAGAGAGAGATGCGGAAGAGGGAGCGCGAGAGCGTGCGGTGGGAAACCTCCCCCTTCCCCCCTCCGAAGAGAACGGCGAGCATACAATGGAAATAATCACCGCGTCTCGGAGCGTCGGCTGACTGACTGAAGCCCCCGAGGACCGACCGGGATGAGATTCGGAAGGCGCTGCCTGGCGGCGGCGGCGGCGGCGGCTGGCGCTTCGGCGCACCACTTTCGCGCCCCGCTATTCTCTCTCGCGGTCCTGCTCGCACCCTTTCTCGTCCCCTATCGTTCCGACGCGATCCCTCTCTCTCTCTTTTGCCGTTGTTCGCCGATACGTTCCGTCTCCCTCTTCTATACCGCCAGGCCGGCTCGCTTTATCGCGCCCTCTCCTTCCCACCTCTTGTTTTCCCATCGCTCTTGTTCTCGTTCTCCCGCTCTCTGTTCTCCCTCCCCGGTTCGTTCTCCCGTCACCTCTTCATCTCGCCGACGCTGCGGAGGCGCCTCGTCTCGTTTGTACGTGGCGGCGAATCCCGCCATGCACACCACGCCTCTTTTTGAGCCTAGTCGCCGCCTCCTTTCTCCCGACACCCACGCCGAGATGTGCTTTGCCTGCCACCGCCGCCTGTACCACCACCATCGCCGCCGACACTGCCTCCACCACGACCACCACCGCCGCCGCCGATTCTCAACGTTGTCCTCGCCGACGTCCTCGTCCTCGTCGTCTTTGTTGACGACGACGAGATCGTTCGGCTGTGTGTGCGCGGTTGGTAGGTAGAATCTATCGTGTGTATCTACCCCCAACTCCTGTGTTTCCTCCATCCTAAGGCTACTGCCAGCACTCTCGTAGTTGGGCGTAGGAGTAGCAGCATCGCGGATGGGCAGCTATGCGCGTTACGGTAGCCGCGCTTGTTTCCCCCTTTCTATTCCTCTCCTCAAACTACCCCTACCGGGATATATCTCGTCGTTCAATGGGGGCAAGCGGCTGGAGAACGAGATTAACGCGCAGCGCGTCACGTGGCGCACAAGAATGCGGTACGGAGCCGCGACGTATCGGAGCAAAAAGGGAAAAGCACCGATTCAATGGATCGTGCACCGCGAAAGATCCCCGAAAGGGTCACCAGTCTGTCAGTAATGTAACATTCATTGATCGAGCTTTCTTTCTCACCGATTTTGATTATTTTCATATGTACTTTGCGTTTGCAATGTTTCTTGTTCTGTCAGAACGGAAAGAAGTATTAGCTACCAGCTATAGGTATTAAATTATTTTTAATTTACAGTTTACAACGGGGAATTTTCCCTGTTGAATTAGCTAATATTTTTTCCGTGTACATTAATTAATCAATAGAAAAAATAAATACATGATACGTTAATTGGATAGTATATATGTTAGCTTTCATTTTGGAGCTCACGATTCAAATATTTATTGATTTAATTGATGTTTGGTCGCGTAAACTAAATTTAAATTAAAGATTAGAAATTTATACATTTGTTGCATCTCTTGATTGTCTTTTCCTTCTTACATTGTGAATCGATGTTCATTATACATCGTGTTCTTTTTTCTCAGTTAAAGTGAATTGCGATTCAACTAGCGGATCCTGAAATCGATAATGAGGGGAGGTCTCTACAAAATTATTTAGTTAGGTAATAGTGAAAATATTTTCGGATTACAATTTCTTTTAATTTGGAAGGGGTGTTTAATCCTAAAACCATCCCTCAGGATCCGCCATATTTTCTTTCTCGCGCGGTAAGATACCGAAATGAGTATGTACTCTTTTAAGTCTAATCTAAATATATAATTTCCAATGCAAAATCCAATCGAATTGAGTCTCAATTAAAAAAAAATTGGTACAATTAATATTTTTCTGTGTTACGATTCAGTTAATGGTTTCGTCTCTTTTTGATCAAAGTCATGACAATTTTATATATTCAAAAATGTTTGGCGTCAATTAATCAGAGAATTAACAGTTTGTATCATTTAAAAAGAATACGAAGAATAAAAAATGGCATTATCGAAATCGCCGTTGCAGAAATCACCGGAACAACGAGTCGCGAATCGACCGGCAATGTCAGCCTCAGGTGGTTCGCTGCGCGCATTGTGTATTGTTCAGTTCGGAGGCGGCGGCGGTACAACCCTCTGTCGGCATGCTCGCTTACAGGACGGATTCGTGGAGGTGGTGAGAATCGACCAATGGGGCGCGAGGCACACCCGCGCAGATCACAATGCTCATTGTTGTCATCGGGCTGTCCGCCCACAGCTTCCACCACGGGTTCGCTGATCGTCCCTGCGTTCTCTTCGCCAGGTAGAAATCCTCGAGTCGGCCCCAAATCGGGAAGAGACAAATTTGTTGCATTTTGCCGCCATTATGCTTTGCCATTGCGTAACGAGCGCTACATATAAATCTTACGACTTCAATTGCGATCCAATATTCATCGCGTTGCGAATCAAAGAACAACTTGGAAATTTAATAATAAGAGTGATGTTGCCGAAATTGCATTTTTCAGTTCGATCCCCTTTATTACCCGCCGCGTTATATATGTCAATATATGCATCGTATTCCTTGCAACCCTCAACTGTTTTGCGCAGAAGGAAACGTATATGAGAATGACGCCATGGGTATCTCTTTTATATTTTCCTCTCCCCGTTCTACCACCCTCCTTTTTCGTAGTCTCAGCGCACCCTTAACTAGAGCCTCTTACCATCCCTCGAGCGTACCTACTTTGCCGGGGTCACCGCGTAATTCGTCCATCCGTTGCGCTCCGTCTGACCCTTTCCGCGTTAGACCGCAAATCGATGTTCTTTTCCTCTCAATTAAGATCGATTGCGGTCAGCGTCAATTTGTGTCGTTCTCGTAATTACTCTATCTAGCATGATAGCTTCCTTTTCGTGACAGGATGGAGAAATGAATAATAATACCGTTTCGAATCGGAATAAAAACGCAATTTTCACACATTGCAAGCATAATCAACATAACATTCATTTACTTTTCATTTTGTGTAATTTCGTTTTGCTTTCATCGCGTGACATTTTGAATGAAAATTTTACATGATTCGAGTGATGCAAAAATTTTCCAATTTTTCATCTCGTCGAACAAAATAATATCCATATTATGAATGATAATAAGAGAATGATCTCTCTCAGAGTGAGGAGAAGCAAAATAGAAATGATCGAGGATCATAATTGCTATTTTTCGCGCATGAGCTTATTTCGAAAGGATAGATATACCATATCAATCAACACGACGTAACAGTTTTATAATCCCGACTTTAGAAATGCGCGATGTTTCGTTTGGTAAAGCGGTATTAGCATAGTATGAAATATTGCGGATCGAAGGGGGCGTTTTTATCCCACGTGTTTAAGCCGTAGATCAGAAGTCCGTAGAGACATTTTCCGCTGCGGGCGGGCGCGGTTGGTTTAGCACATCAGAAACGGAGATGGGCCATCGTTATGTGCGTTGCACCGGGAGCGGTATTAACGCGGTGACACGCGAAATACCATGCTATTCCGGTACCGGTCTCGCGGGTGCGGGAGCCGACAAGAACAATGAGTGTTGTACGCGTTCCGCGTATTGCTCGTGCATCCTCTTGCAGAGTATGCCAGGCACTATGGTGGGTGTAGAGGAGGGAGAAAGTGAGAGGGAGAGAAAGAGGGAAAAAGAAAGACAAACCGAGATTTATGCGAGGCGGCGGCGTCGGTGGCGTCGCAACGTTGTGCTCGCGTTGCTGGACGTCGCCGTCGAAGCCGTAATCGTCGTCGTGGTTGTCGACGACGAAGACGACGAAGACGACGACCACGACCACGACGACGAAGAAGTGCGGGTGAGAGAGTGTCTTCGTGTAGGAGGAGGAAGAGGACAGGAGGGAACGGGCGCGCGAGGCCGAAGTAGAGAGAAAAAGGTAAAAGACGACAAGGATGACAACGCAGCCGTGGCTGCTTGTGAATGAACATTGGCTTGCGAGCGGCGCGGCGTTTCCGGTCGCTCTCTATCTCTCCATCTCTCTCTCCTTCTCGCGACTTCTCTCATTTCGCCTCGTTCTCTCTCCTACCCTGTCCCCCAGTAGCTTCACCCTGATCCGCCTGCTCTATCTATTCGCGTCCTTCTCTTCTCATGAATGAGAGTCATCGAGTTGCGATCTCGCGACAGAGAACGAGAAAGACGGAGATAGTGCGTGCCAAACGAGATGGACGAGGAAGGACGAAGGAATGACAGAGGAGCGAGAGGGACAGAAGACTAAAAGAGAGCGAGAGAGAGAGAGAGAAAGGCCGGACGGACCGTTAGCCTTAAGCCAAACGGTCGCAACGGGGCCTGGGACGAATTTAGATCAGGAACTGAGAAACGAAGGGAACACGATCGCTCACTCCCTCCCTCCTCCCTGCTCCTCCACACAAGTGTCCTTTTTTTTACTTCCTTCGCTCCTTTATTCCTCTCTTCTCTTCCCCGCTTTGTTGCTCCCATTATTAATATATCGCAGTCTTCGTGCCTGACCGCCCGCTCTTCTGCGCATCGCGTCGCTGTTTCTTCTTCTTCATGGCCCTCTTCTTCTTCTTCTTCTTCTTCTTTCTCGTACACCCGCTCATCCGGCGGCGTACACTGTGCCGATTATAAATAGTAACCTTTGTCGGGCGCTTTTCTTTATACTTCCATCTTCTCATCGCCTCCGCATCTCCATTTGGTGATGCCTTGAGGGTTTTTGCGCGAATAACTCGCTTATGCAAACGAAAATTCTTCAGCTTGCAATTACTTCTTAATACTCTTGTTTGTATATTAAAATCAAGAATAAACAAGCGAATAATAATGGACATTTATTATTAGCAATTTCCTATTTAAAGCTTTTCGAGAACAGTAAAGATGGAGATCATCCATAGTTTATAGGTTTTTCCAGTTGCTCACGTCAGATTTGCTCCAATATTTTATCACGCCGAACCCCTCGACAGTATTAACTTGTCTGTTAATTTTCTAAACTCTTGACTTAAATGATTTGATGCTTATACATTGCCGTAAGCTAGGCTAAAGTAATAATTGTTGCGTGGGATGAGAGATTCTGAATATAATGGAAGAAGTCTCGAAAAAAGATAACATTGACGGCCGCCTGCAGCTACTTTGAGACGCAGTATTATTTCCCGGAATAAATATAGTATTGTATAATTTATATTATATCA